AAGGCATTCAGACTGACATTCAGGGGCTCACACCATGCTAGAGCTGTGCATTACAGATGCCTTGAGAAAGTGAGGAATCAAAACAGACTTGTTCCCACTGGCATTTAAAATCCTGAGTCCAGATACTAATCCGAGCAAAGGCTGATCACAGATTTAGATGCTCTCAGGAGAGGTTTAGTCATTAAGGATTCCAGCTCTTGGGAAGACACAGCTTGTCAGTGATAAAGTCAGGAGAGGAAAGGGTAAAGAAGGGTGTCACGGCTGAAGCAAGTGTTGAAACTATCAGGACTTCTTGTTAATCTTTCAGGTTGAAGTGCCCATCACAGGTCTCATGGTTGAGCTGCTGGTTAGTCTGCCAGTTTAATGATGAGCTAATTGGTTTACAGTTCTCAAATTCACAAACATTACCCTGAGGAGAATCAGGCTGTTAAGTAACTGTTCTGAACAGCAGTTCAAATCTGTTCAGCTTCATTGACTGGCTCCAAGCCACTGTCAGGGCATATGGAAGAATTTCCAACTGCATTCTATCAGTAACAGTTCCAGAATTTTCTATCTTTTAGAATATTCTATCAGGCAGAAACCATTCAGCCAGTACAAGGAACCCCACAAAACCTGTTACCTCATTATCCATGGAAATGAAGAAAAAAGCACTCAGATTCCTATTTTGCTACTTGAGTACAGGAACAACATGATGATAGTTATTACCTTTGTGATTCTGTAATGCACTCACTGAATGACCAGATCCCCAGTCCCAAGCTGCCATGGCTGTGGGATACAGCAGCATATACAGTTCTCACCTAAAACAGAGTAAATTACCTGCAAGCTTTTATCAAACAAGACACATTTGCTATCCCTTCAGGAAAAAGAACCCCAAACCACCAAACAAAAAAGCCCCACCGAACAAAAACCCCTCTCCTTTCCTTCACTATGACAATACCTTCTGGATATTTTGATTTCTTTTGCATAAAAGCAGTAGCTGCTTGAATAGATTTCAGGAGTCTAAAAAAAGCAGTTTGTTGAGTGGGTGCTCTAGCATACAGTAATTGTGCTCAAATTAAGGAACCTTTCCATATGTAAATCCTTTCCAAGCAGAAGTAGGTCACAGATATCTTCAGCCCTAAAAAGCACTTCAGTCAGCCATGCAGAAGAAAAATTACACTTAGCACTTAGCTTCAGTTAACTTGTAGAGCAGCCCTCAGCCCTCTACAGCATCTGCACTGCCCAGTCAGCCTCGTGACTCCCAGCTGCAGTGCACAAATCAGGAAGCAGCAGCTACTGCTGCAGACAGAAGCACAGCCTCCTCCACGGTATTCCTGACAGCAGAGAGGTCATCTCTGCTCCAAGAACACAATGAGGAAGATTTAAACACCAAACTAATACAAAGCACCCAGCCCTGATGCCAGCAGGCAAAGCTAAGGGATCTTCTAATGCAGAGCCTCACTCTTGTCTCAACCTCTTGAAGTACAGTACCCCAGCAGATACAGATGACACCTACAAGGTGAGGCCTTGCTCTCACACCACCACCATGGCCTCAAGCAGCACAAGTGCAAATGAAGCCAAAATCCATACACAGAAATATTCTTTCTAGCTGCTAATAACACTAAGGGCCAAATAACATTGGCCTCATGTTTTGAGAAAGAATGGTTTATAAGTAAAGATTAGCAAAATTAATGTTTCCACAAAAGGACTTTAATAAACACCACTCAGGCTAGTACCATTCCTCAAAATGCCATGCTCATCTCTTTTTTTCCCTTTTGCAAAGGGCTTTCACAGTGTTTTCTCTCAGTACTTCGCTCCAGAAAGCTGTTCCAGAATCTGGAAGATTGCACAGCTTGTGAATTTGCTGCTGGAATAAATGCGAAATGAAAAATCTGAGATGCCTTTTCAAGCTAGTAAAAGTAAACAGCAATTAAGTACACTCACACCACATGGCTCTCTAATTAGGGGATGTAAATGTACTCTAGGAACTCGACTTTAAAAGACCATCATGCTCAATGGCAGGAACACTAACAATCTTAAATGAAGCCTCTAACAGTCCATTACACTAATCTCACCATTAACAGGCAAAAAATCCTTTCAGTGACCCTTCTCACTGTTCAACCCCCAGAGATCCAGATTTAACATGAGGTGGTGTTCATTAACTGCAAATAACCTAATGACTCAGCACATGACAAGTGCAAGAAGAAAAGCAGTGTTCTCCTGAACAGAAGTGGGCAGGGAAGGATGCCTGCCACAAGCTGGGAGTGTATGCAAAGAGCAAAAGCATATGGCACTTGTATCAGGTTTTAATTTCAAAATACTTTGCACTTTAGTGCCATGTAAAAGATGTTCACAAGGACCTTGCCCACCTCCCTGTGGTGAAGACTGCTCCTCTGTTTAGTACTTTCTAAGCACAGATCAAAAAGGTATTTCAGAATTTTTTTTAATGTCCAGAAAATTGAAACTTGCAAAATTACCAACTTTTCATCAGCTTTGTTTCTAACCGGCTTAATATTCAGTGTTCGAAGATTAGTAACCAAGTAACCAAATTCTCTCCTTTTTTAAGAGAAAGGCTGAATAATCTGAACATGTTTCTACTATTTGTCACTTAACAGATCACTTTTAGTGTAACAAAATAGATTTCAAGAAGAAATTTATGCTTTGAGACAGATGTGACAAAGGGCATCAACTGCAAACTAACCACAGGCCTATTACACTTCAGCCATGCTTATAGAGCAGTTCTGTCCATGTTACTGTATTTTGATTAACTCTTGCACTGCTGAAGCTTGAAAAGTGAAGAGAAAATATAGTCATGGACAGGTTAAGACATTTAAGAGGCTTCTTCTCATTATCCTGAAAGCATCTGGCACAAGCTTCCCTTCACCAGACAATTCATCGAGATGCAAGAGATTTAATGGGCTTCCGTCTACTCAATTTTCCTGCCTTCACATTTATCTCTGCCCCACTGGCACTTACCAAGTTCTCAGGACACATCCTCTCAGGCAACATCCTGGTGGAACTCTCATATTCAGGTGCAATATTAACTGTGTTTCAATTCCTGGTGTTAGCATATCCAAAGGAGCCACAGCAGGTAGTACCTAGAATTCTTCTAAGAGCCCTTTCTGTATTTACAAACAGCTCCACTGAAGAAACAAATTAGGTGCACACCATCACGAACTGTGCTTTGTAAGAATTAGCTTTGTGAGATAAAACCTACACTTTTGAAGAAAGCCTACCAAAAAGCCACAAAGCTGATACAAAGAGGGCCCTGCCACCAAAGTAACTATGCTCTAGTCTCACTGCTGTAAGATGATGTCCAAAATGACAAATTAAGAAGAAACAAAGGGATGGCACTTAGCAAGCAAATTCCAAACTCACAAAACTTGAGCATTCAAGACCCTACAAAACCCACCTCAAGCTTCCTATGGACACTTGATATTATGTCTTTCTGGTCATTCAAAGAAGAGGCACTTACAGCAGGGTAACTTTAAGTACTACTAGCAAGTATGGTGGTTATTAAATATTTTCCAAGTCTTAGCATTCTGCAGAGCAGCATTTTCAAGATATTTCTTTGTAACTTAAGGCCTCTATGAAAGTGAAGTTGGAGCTTTCAGGTGGTGTTCTTCTAGGATGCTTCAGATTAACCTGTATGAATTTATAACTGAAGAAGTAAAAATACCCATGTACCAATACAATAGTATGTTAGTAATTCCAGTATTTCTGTCAGGTACTTTTCAAAACACATGGCAAGAACATCTTTGCCACTAATCTTTGCTAGTATCAGTAACTTTCACAGTCTGCACATTTTCAGTGTTTGTAATGAGTGACACTGTTAAGAGGTAAGACACTACTAAAATTCAAATTATAATACTTCCATAAATAAAACCAGTCATCTTTCACCTAATTTATTTAAGTTCCAATTTTTTCCAATTCCAAACAAAAGCTAAATACAAGTTTTAAACAGGTAAGCACTAGTTTTATCCAAAGGGAGCAGGCTTATGCAGTTTTACTCCAGTAAAGTACTCAACCCTTAAGCAGAGCCTTCTTTGTCATCAAAACTATACAGTAGTCTTCCTTTTTTCATTGCACAATCTTAAAATGTTCTGTCAGAACCAACTTTTGACACTCCAAACACTTTTTTTACATTGGTTTATAATGTCTACTCCAAAAGAAAAAAAAAAACAACCTCGATGGGTTTTCCATAAGAAATGCTTTAGAAACCAGTATTTCCTGCACAGTTCACCTGCAAGTTTACAAGTCTCAACTCTCAAGAAAATATAATCCTCTACCAACATTGTTTCTGCAGCTATTTTTTAACCTTTTTTGTGAGCTGCTTTAGCAACTTCAGACTCCAGGTCTGCCTCATCTGTATAAATGCATCCAACGCAAAAGAATACCTTCATACAGTTATACAGCATCTTGGGGAAAGAAACCAAAACAAAAGTGCCAGTAAACTCAGACATGGCCCAGCAAAATAAAAGAGGCAAAAAAAGCCTACACATTAAATGAGATGCCTTTTTTTAAGATTTCTTTCCCACATTTACTTCCTATTGTAATAGTCACCTCTTCGCTCATTAAAATGAATGATAGTGCTCTTCAATACAATCATTAACAGCAAAGCTATAAGGCTTTTATACCCGTTACATTCACTTCTCACCCTCCAAATACTGATGGCTAACATTATAGATGTTAGGGGGCATGACCAGCACAAATGGGAACACCACCACAAATGATCACCTTGTGCTTTCAGATACATTTGTTTCAATGAACAGTCCCTTCATTTCACATTTTAGTAAGATGCTGATGCAGTGCAGAGAAGTGTGCAGAGCATCCTCTCTTTCACAAGGTCCATGCAGAAAACATCTAAAAAAAAATTGCAAAGTTCTGAGATACAAATGATTAAAAAAATCCAGGATGATCAAGTTTCACAATGTATAGTGTTCTGAACATGAGTCCATTTTCTTCTAAATTCTGAAAGAATAAAGTGGTGAGGAAAGTGAAAAATCCACTGCTGCATTCTGTGATCTTCCCCATTTTGCTGGCCAGTACCTTACTCTGGCATGTAAGGACAGAGGTGATCCTCTATGGTACCAACCGTCCAGTGAGTGAGCTGCTCCTGTGGCAGGTACAGGCAGATGCTGCATAACTTGAATATTGTAGCTTTGTTTTTTGGAGTCTAGAGGCACAGAAAAACCAAAGAAAAAGCTATTAAACCTATAAGTTAACTAACAGGCAGACACCCAGAAGATACAGCCCAACTGTCAGCTTGCTGCTGGTTGTGGAGAACAACAGACACTCAAAAGCCACTGTTTCATACATATGAACAGCCTGAACTCAAAAAACAGTCTGCAGCCTCTAATGCATAAAATGTTTTCACTACTCTGTTCATTCTTCACTTGAGTAATTTCTGTACTATTACCCAAATCAAGCCAATGTTTTAATTTTTCCAAAACATTTAATTTTAGAACTCATGTAATTTTTAATACAAGAACATTAAATTAATTCTATGTGAACCCATCTGTGGCCCATGGATAAGTTTTTGCATATATGAATCCTATTTATAATATAAGTTTCCTCGGAAACTGCCAAAATGCAATCATGAATGCATGATCAATTTTTCTACTTGAGTATTTCGCATCATTGATGTTCCCAAGAAGAAAAAGCTTTATATACTTAACACACACTTGTCAAGACGAGGACAAAAGCAGCTTACCTGCAAGTGCTGTCTGTCAATGAAGAGAAACACTGACTGGTTAGGGTTGTTGACAACAATTCCAGTCTTGTCCTTTCGGCTCAGAACATGCAGAAACTGTTTTTCATAGTCACCATGATGAAATTCAAACTTGGCCTACATGGTATGAGGGAAGGGAATAAATTATTAAATTCACAGGTAACCCACTAATCTCTTTCAATCTGGGGCTTTACAACCACTTGTTTCTTTCCTTTTCCGATCTACGAAAGACAGAAATTTGGGCCACAGCAATGCCACACTTGAGTCCTGGCACAATTTAAACAATTTCCTAGTTTCATCCTGCCAACACATTAGTCATTGCAATGACGTATTAACAATTTACAGGTGCAACTTTAATCACACACATAAACCCCAATTTACCCTGCTGCTGTGGCAGAACATCCCTGTGCATCACTTTCTAGGCAAAATTATGATGCAAAGGTTCCATCCAGCTCAATACCCTCTTTCCTCTAACCAGACAGTGCACCTTGGGATACTCACGGTACCTTGACAACACCAGCATATTTAAACAACAAGTCAATTGTACTAAGAGGCATATCTAATCCACCTCTACAAATGCAAACACACTATGCATTTATACATATATATCATCTGCAAAGGTCCTTTGGAAGTGCTAATATAACTTCAGAGGGAGGCAGAATTTGGCATTCGAAACACTGACTGCTTTATAAATGAGAACAGACAGCATATTTTCTAATATTCACAGAAGTCACATACCTTGTCAATTTATTGTGAAGGACAGTACTTATTCTCTTCTCCAGGTGTAAGTTACTTATGGAAGTGAAATGCCAAAACCAAATACCTGAACAGGCCTAAAGGGTTCATCGGATCCCTTCCACCGAGAGAACAGGAGACAGACTATCTTCTCAATATCATTGCGAGGCCATAGAATGAAGTCCATCTCCTGGGTACAGCCGATCACATCCTGCAAGCAGTCAAGTTCCGTACTTACATTCCCTTCATTAGTCAAAGACACAGGCAGGCAACTCATCTATACAGGCACATAATTTAGAGGTGCTATTGATTACTCGAAGCACAACTAAAGTCTTCCTTGTTTTCCATTGAATTTTGGTATCAGCAGCCAGTTAATATAAACTACAGCTTTAAGCAAACAAAGACTGTCTTATCTTCCAATATTCGTAACTCAAAACCACTCAGTTGTACAGCAGTTGCTTCAAGAATTATTAACACATGCCTGCTAAAGGACAAAGATGGCAAGAAGATACTATCAATTCCCAAGGCATAACTCCGAATGAGAGGTAAAGCTTAAGCAGACAGCTTCAAAACACACATGCTGTTGGTTACCCTTCACGCAGCAAGTGAGTAGAGAAAAAGGCAGGCTTAGCCGTAAGACTGACAAAGAAAAGCACAAGTGTTGACAAACCAAGATTCGGCAAGCATGAAAAGGAGCCTTACCCTGCGCATAGACTGGTAGCGGGGTGCATGGAGCTGTACTACATCCTTCTGCAGAAGCTCTAAGGAACTTTCCAAAGAATAGCTGGAATCCCGCACACCTTTCAGGATATTTTCTTCATAATTATTGGTCATGACTGGTATCACTTCAGACACTTCAAAAAGCGCTGACTTTTTCTTCTGGAAAAAAAAGCACAGATTATATTAAGATTACAATCCTTTACAGGCAACTATAGGCTTATTTTAGCATCTGTGATTTTCTGTTAGCATTCATGTATAAAGCACGTATCATGCAAGTTAAGACTTTGTCACAAATCACACCAAAATTTAAAAATTTAACACAATCAGTCCAACAACTTTTTATAGAAGTTGAACACACATTTCTGTAGTCTCCAAAGATGCAGATTTACCTGCTGATCTTGCAAACACTAAAGCTGTATCTAAACATAACACAACTGCCCCATCACCAACTAGAGTACATGACTTTGGTCAAACCTAGAGCCCTCTGCGAAATTCTCTTCACAAATCAAGTAGCACATTTTTTCACCTTTTCCGTTTTTTATAGTTGGCTTTTTATGAACAGTGAAGTCTTTCAATGCAACATATGGTTTTTTTTTCACCTTTTCCATTTTTTATAGCTGGCTTTTTATGTAAAGTGAAGTCTTTCAATGCAACATATGGTAACAGTGGGTGATGGAGATGCCATCTGAAGTTACCTCTAAGTTATAATCTTCTCAAATAAGTACCATTTTAATTTGCTAAGTAACTTTTATACTCACTACAAATATTTCCGTATCTCTCAAGAAAGGCCAAAACATGATGAGAATTTGAAGTTTTTTCTGTATGTAAAATCACTTCAAGTTGTATGTCTAGCACCTTTATTATAGCTCGTGAGAAGTCTTGACCTACTTAAGAGCTACACGACAGACAAAGCACACTTCACAAAATAATACTCCACTTCCCTAGCCAAAACACCCATAACAGGCAACTGTTTGCTGACCAAGCTAAGCTGAGCTAACAAACTGGTATGGTATGGACATTTTCACTTCACTGTGATATAAGCAAGGATTTAAAATAGGTGTTTGGAACAGATTTCTACAAAGCAACCAGAAAGCAGTATGAATACTCCAACTTGTGTCATCTAAGAAAACTGCTGCCATTGCTTAAACATCCTCTTTATTACTATGAGAGAGTAATCAGAAATTACATCCCAATAGATCCATCCCTGTTTGCACTGGAACTGACAAACAAAATCAACTCAGGAATTTTAATGAAGCTTTTCAAGGAACGGTTGTCACTAAAATCATGTAATTATTGCAGCAAATGCAAAAAATGTACATTTGAGGGGATTAAATAATTTCAGTGCCCATCTACACGCATTTCATGCATTATGTTCTCTGTTGACATTTGTTTCTGTCTTCATTTCCTCATCATTTTTTCAGCACTTTCACTCCCTATAAGCACCTCCTTTTCTTCACCTTCTGGGGATGGAAACTCTCCTGCAACTGCGGGCCTATATCCAGCTCCCGAAGTATCACCCAGCTCCCGACCTGGGTGCGCAGCATCCAGCAGCAGAGGTGGCAGCCAAGCAGAGATTTCCTCTCTGCCCTCCCCGCTCCCTTTCAAAATGGTAGCAGCAGTTTCACACGTGCCTGCGCACTTGGGCCACTTTCACATTGCATTCTGTGACTCCTCCCTTCCACCGCGAGGTCCTTCCCTTCTGCTTTCACCAGATAAACACAGTAACTCGGCCAGCGCCCCAGCCAGGTCTCTCTTCACAGCTCAATTGCTCACTGCCAACAATTATGCAAGTCAGACCCCAATCAGGCTTAACAAATTACAGGTTTAACTTTGAAAAATATCTACCCAATGCAGAAGTCACGAAGTAACCACTTAATGAGGCACTGGCACCCTCTGCATTACGAAACTGTAACATACAAAGTGCCAACATGACAAATGCAAACTAAATATTATAGCAGCTAGCACTTTGAAAAGAAAATTAAACAAGCGAATGGAATCTATTACGGATAAAACGTTTGATGCAATCAGGTAGCAAAGACTTTGCACAGCACACTCAACATGTAACAGAAGAGAGACACATTAAAACAGTTACCTTGTCTTTGAACACAAAGGCAATGTACATCTTGAAGTCAAACTGGTCAGCTAAAGATTCTTTTTTCTTTCTAAGCTGAGCACGAAGTCTGTTCAGAGCTTGTTTCTTCCGGGAGTTTGGGTCCCCCATTTTGTAACACAGGTGGTACTAAAGCCTTTGGAAACTGTCACTAAACTATGGGCACCTTTTCGTAAGACTCAAGTACAACAGAAACAAGTCGTTTGATTCCTGCTAATGCGACTGAACAGTTAAAACGCTAATGTAACCCAAAACTGCACCTCAGGCAGTATTTAGGAGAACGTCGTACTGAAGGGGGCAAGAAACAAAGTAAGCAGTTGTCCAGCCATGGCTGGACAAGAGGTTTTACAATAAACCAAGAAGAAAAAAAAACCTAAGAATTTTGAAGACAAAAATTTGAACAGTTTAACCGCAGGAATAAGTGGGTAAGAATGAGGAGGGGGAAAAAAAAACCCAACCAAAAAAAACAAACCCCAAACAAATCTTATCACGATTTATGTGTACAATAAAAAGCAATTGGCACAAGCCCAACCCATGGAGGGGTAACTTTTGCTCTGCTTACAAAAAAAAAAACCCGAAGCTGAAGTTACAAGTTGCGTTTTACCCCAGCCAGATCCATGACCCTACTGATTATCTTCCTCGCGCCTTTCCACTATTGCTATGTTGCCCGTCTTTTTGTTTGCTTTAGAATTATTACACTTGGTGGAGAGCAGAGAAAAGGGTGCAAAGGAGGAGTGCACAACCCGGGAAGTATGACATTTCTCTGCCAACAACAACAAAATCGATTACAGACAACAAAGCGCTGGTTCGCAGGGGAGCAAAGAGAAAAGACAGCGGAGTCATTTCTAACTTCATCCTGCTCATCATTGCCCTGAGGCTACTGCTGCCGAAGAGAAGAGGGATCATGATGGCCATTGACAAGGGGCGGGCAGGGGTTCAAAGGACTGTATTATCTCACCTAGAGACTGAAACCCGAATCAGCGCCCTAAACTCGGGGCTCCCTACCAGTGGGAGAGCTCTACATCCCCCGACAGCTCACACGCTCCCTGGGCTGCTGATCCCCCGGGGATCCTGCTCTCTCCCTCTCTCTCTGCTGGTGTGAGCGAGCGCGGTCAGCCCAGGCTGTGCATGGCCAACGCTCTTCGCTTCCCCTC